GTAACAGCCACCTCCACCTCCAACAGCGGCTCTCTAAGACTCACATTTGAACTTCCAAACGCCCAATCATGCCCCCCCTTACCCCCGGGGGACTTTCCAAACTCATAATGAGATCACAGATTCAATCTGCCGTCAAATGACTATCATTCATTCCGATATTTGCCATTGTCGGCTGGCGATAATAGTGCTTTATCTGTGCCGTTCAATATATAATACATGGCTCCTGTTTTTATGATGGGGAAGATGGCGGGATGATTACTGACGGGGAGAGAGATTTCTGTGCTGGCAGCTTGGCCCGGCTCCTATCTCTAGACTTTCTCGAGCTACCTTTAGAGGAAATTGAAACATTTCATCTTGGAGGAACAGCCGCAATAAAAGCCAGATTGCTCCGGAGAGCCTCCTAAATGCGGTATGGATAGAAATCCCGGGGATACCTGGAGAACCGGCAATCAGGGCAATCCGTGAGCAATTTCAGCAGGTGGGAAATGTTACCAGACAGATAAGGCTTAAAATAATTCTCCCCCCAGAAAGAGTCCAGATCAATGTGATGGTAACTGTTACAGAGAGTGGGGAAAAGTTATTTTCCTTTTATAAATGGACGATAATGCGCTTTGACTGGTGAAGAAGACAGGGTGGTTGGTGAGTTCATAACAGGAAACGTCATGTGGATGTTTTCATCGTGAGTTAGGGGCTTGTTAAAAGCCATCCTGATGTTATTTGTGTGAGCATCACACTACGACCAGCAGTTACGTTTATTTTACTGGGTTTCTCGTGATTTGCATGCTTTTTATTGCTCCTCTTCAAACTTCCCCTGAGGGTGGAAGGTTGTTGTATCCCGTTAGTTACCATTAATCAGGAATGAGACCTTTTATCTGAACATAACGTTATCATAACTAATGTCTGTGCTATGATATACTACACTGATACACTACATACAGAGATTTGTGTGTGTATGGAGTCTGTGTGTATATACAGTATACATAAGAGGAAAACCGGCCTAGATCTCTCTAGATATTGTTAATGCCTCTGAGCCTTGACCTTACACACCCACATGAACCTAAGTAGAAATGTACATTCAACAAGGCCGATGAGTACATGTGACACCATTAGCTTTTGTTGCTTCACCGACAACCACCAGCAAGCACTTTCCTACAGCTGCGGGTCGGAGTTTCTGCTCCAAACATTACACATACCAACAGCTTAAAAAACAGGTAGAGGATGTTTACAGACATCATCAGGAGGCCCTCCAAATGATGACTTCAGCCCCCTGTTTGCTGACAGTTAGAGGGTAAACCCTCCTGGTGCCGTTGCCTGAGGTGTGGAGGTGAGTGTTTCTAAGGAGACGACAGAGGTGGAGTCTGTAACCCAGTCATGGGACACAGCTCTGTAAAGTTGGGCTTGTGCGAGCTGCCTGCCACCATCTAAAATCATCATTCATGTGTCCGCACTGGTCGCTGAGTGTGTGTTTTGTGGGGCGATGGGCCATGAGGAGGCCGATCGTGTTCCTGTGGCGGTAGTGGAAAGGGTGTGGTCAGGAAGAAGTGGGCCAACTGGTCCGACCTCCGGCTCAAAGTCGCTTCACGTTCTCCTCCTCCATTGTTTTGCTCGTCCAATTTCATCGCTTCTGGCTTCAAACTGGGGGCATTTAAAGAACTGTGGTGTAGCCACGATGGGGGTCTCTTTTATTCAATCAACACGTGCCAGCAAGTCATTTATTTTCCTTGAGACTGTTTCAGAAATCCACATTCAAACCTGCCCTGGGAGCTACTTTTAACGCAGCTGAGCCCAATCTCGCCCACAATCAGGATGAGGGATGTTCAGCCAAAAATAGTTTTGCTGAGCGTGTTATTTATATGGTTTGACATGATATGAGCCTTCTAGAAGCCACATCACTTTGTGCCGGTTTAGAGTAAAAACTTCTGAGCCTAAATGAATGCAGACGCTGGATCTTCTTCTGGTTTCACCATGTCTGTTATCACCTTCTCCCCCTTCTTAGAATTGAGGATTCATAGCTTTTCTCTCTTAAGATCAAACGAGACAAAAGTCTTTTAATAGGGTTAAAAAGCTTAAAGGTTTGTTACAGTTTTGGACCTCCAGAGGAAGCTCTTCTATCAGTGGGAACAGCAGCGAACTTAAATCCTGTGAGCTTGCTTTTCTCGCTGCCTTTGGGGGGGTTTTATGCTTCGGGGACTCAGATGGTTCGCCGTGGACACCGACAGACTCACGACTTTACCGACTCGTCTTACAAAACATGAGGTCCCAGTGGGAGCTGAGGCGGGAGCTGAGGCGGGAACTGAGGCGGGAGCTGAGGCGGGAGCAGCGCCGTGCTGCCCGTCTCAAAACCCACCGACAGTGACTAGTGCGATGTGGGTGTCGCCTGTGGTCTGGCGGTCATAGCACAGGGTGATAAAAATGGCCTTTTTTCATCCGATGGAGCAATCTTTTCCAAGTTTGTCAGGCCTGTTGACGTGTTCATTTCCTGATCTGATGATTCTTAAAAATGTCGACCAAGCTCATGTTTTTTTTAAGCTACAGAGCTTAAACTCAATCAGTAGCTAAAAACATGAAACCTTCTACCAAATTTCCCAGTTTGTTTGCATCCTGAATGTTTTCCCCATTGGTCAAAGATAGTTTACAACCAATAGCACCAAATCAAGCTCCAACTGGCTGCTGTCTTATGTCTCATTTATCTGTTTATTTCTGCTGATGGAGAACCAATAGAGAGCATTAGATGAGTATCTCTGTGGAGCGAGGGTTTGCTTGTGCTGTGCTGGCGGCTCAGCCTTCAGCAGGTGAAAGCAGGTCCTCTGCGTTAGCTGCCAGCCCACGCTCATCAATAAGTCTCCCCTTTGCTCTTTGACGCTGCAAACAGACCGGCTGCTGCTCGGCTGCCCGACGCGCCCCGCCGGGAGCCTGAACGGCTCCGCAGCAGGTAAACGGGGAAGAGCTTTAAATAATGCACAGGGACACATAAAGCAGGCTCGTTTTAGGGCTCGCCTCTAACAAACTGTTGCATAAATATGATCCACCGTCGACCTTTTGTCATTATCAGACACAAATAAAAAGCTATTTTTTAAAATAGTTAAAAACACCAAAGGGCTGCACATCTTTACGCTCAATGTTTCAAAACCAGATAATTTGACATGTTCGCCGAATTAAACACCCCCCCAAAAAAACCTAAAACACCTGCTTTCACCTGCTGGTTTCTGTTTATTACAATAGATAAACAGATGTAGAATCCACAGAAAGCTTTAAGAGTAAAAACATTGCCACCTCAAGAATTTAGGCTGTTCAATAATTTTGTATAAAGGTGAGTTTGTCTGATGGGGAAGTCAAGAGTTGATCAAGTTCCATCTATTTTTGAAAAGTGTGAGAAATATGCGCTTTAATTATCCAGCAAGTGTGAGATTAAAAAAGGTGCTTTTAAACATTTCATAGTCAATTAGCTCTTTCGGACAAAACCTTTGTTCTTTTTCTCTGACTTTTGCCTAGAACAATAAATCTGTCCCACTTCAGGACTGTTCACCTGACTGCGAAGTCTTGTTTTTTTTTTTAAACATTGTACAAAACGGGGAAAATATAAGCTAATAAGTAAACAATGGAAAGAAAATAACAGAGACAGGTCAAACTGTGGAGATTATTTGAACCTGTTCAGAACCGGACATGATTACCTTTTCCCAGAGACTAAATGGTGAAAAGGGCCAATTTTGCTAGTTGAGTGAAAACCTCACCCTGATAAGCATAAAACTCATTCAGGGTAAACAAAAGGTCATTTTTTGATGCAGGAGTGTACAGAGGTTTCCTGTCAGTCCAGTTCTACAATATCAAAGCATGATATTTGCTCTCTTGGCTGACATTTCCTTTTTTGTTTTAATTACGTCTCTCCATTGCTCTGCTCCTTTGTCCCATTAAAACCAGTTCTTTATTATCATCATTGTTATTCTTATTATTAGAATGAGAGGGATCCACTATAAAAACAACCTGCAATCTTTTTTTCCACACACAACGTGACACCACACGCAGCTCAAATTTACATCCTGGTTCTTGTGCAGCCCCTAGAAAAGCAAACTGCATGCCGCTCACATAAAAAAAAAAGGCATTTGCATCCACTTTTAATACCCTGTTTTGTCTTTTAGGCTGCCGGTGGGTGGAGTCTGCCACTAAAGGAAAGAAAATAGGTTTAAACAAACCACAGCCATGAATCAACAGTCGTGATGTGGAACATGACACCGGCCTGGGGCTAAAATGAAGGTTTAACCGCCATCGAACCGGATCGAAGCCATTAGCTTTACATTAGAATGGTGTGTGTGTATATGTGTGTGAGGGGGGATTGACAGTTTTCCCCGGATTTAAGGCGTCCCATGTTGGGTTTTTTAGCTGCGTGTTAGATGTGCAAACACAGCCCAAGGCCATGTCTGAGCTGTGAAACCAGGCCTACCCCCCCACCTGCCAACAGCAGCCCCCCCACTCACTCATTAACCTGCACATGTGCAGTGTGAGCCCTGGGTGTTGTGGAAAGTTTTACCTTCAGAGGGGGACACACCAAAACACACAGCAGGAGACTCCCAACATCTGGCACAGCCCTGAACATTCAAATAAGGTGGTTATCAAACAAAAAAACATGGAGAACGACTCCCCCCCCCCCCCGTTTGAACTGGACTTTAAAACAGCGTTTAAAGGTCTCGTTTCTGGTTGGTGGGGCAACTGTTTATAGTTTTTTTTTTTTTTTACAGCTTTTTGGCTCTGAGGAGCAACAGGTGGACCCTCACATCCTTAAGAGTGAAGTAAAGTTGGTCCAAAGTGGAACGAGGCTACTGAAAACCTCCAAAAACTCCCCATTAAAGCGCGTTTCGGCGGCCGTTAGCGAGGCCCCGGCTTAGTTTGGTGGAGTCCCGACCGTTTTGACAAAAACCCCGTTGACAACCACCAACCGTGTCCAGCCCCGTTTCACCCCCCCACGGAGGGAAAACGTACGGAGGAAAACGCTAATTTCGACTTACCTGTCGTGCAAAGCGAAGGTGTGGCACTTTGCCCCAGGTATCACAAACACACGGGTGTCATTTAACCTCTCTCTTCCGGTCCTTTAAGTGAGTTTTTAAAAAAAAAAAGTAGATTCGGGCTCCTGGTCGGGGCTTTGAGGCTAAAACAGAGTTCCCTCCGTCGGGCTGAGTTGTTGTACCGAGCCGCTGAGAAGAGTTGCCCCCCCTCGGTGGCTCCACGGTCCCATGTCTCGTGTGAGGACGGCAGGTCTGCTGATGGGTAGTTAGTTGGTCTGGGAAACGGTGGAGCTCCGCGCGGCTGCCACCCACTTCCGGTCTGACTTCAAAGTAAAACCCTTCATCCATCTTTCTGTTTTAAAAAGCAAATGGGTTGTTGTCACCCCTGAAAATCACTAATGTAATTATTATTGTATAATTATACACTTATAATGTTTAATATACAATTAGAATGTATAATTATAGTATAATTATATAATTATAATGTGTAATTATATTATTATATATAGTCACTTTATCCCCCCTCCAAAGCACCCAAATCCTCATGATGATGTCAGGATGATGCTGCTTGTTTTTTCTAAATAAAACAGAAACGATGTGCCTGAATTGGATACTTAAAACACAACAATCTATCTTTTCTTTAAGAGTTTTCCTTAAAAAAAAGAAAGTACAATTAATCTAATAACATTTCTGAAGTATGTGCCTGTACTTGCTAAATTTAAAACTGCTTTGAGTTTAGCACAGATTAGAAGGAAATGGAAATGCAACGAAGGAACGATGACAATAAAAAAAAGTGTCAAGTCATGCTGTCCTGACTGTTTTCCTTGTTTTCCAGCTCCAGCACACCTGATTCAAATAAATGGGACAGATCTTCAGCTCTAAGAAGCTGATGAAGACCCGTTTATTTGATTTAGTTGTGTTTGTTTATTTGATTTTTTTGTTTGCTTAGCTGTTTAAGGGAAAATTGGCTTAACAAATAAAGACAATACAAACCTCTGAAAAATAGAGTGTCTCGAGGACTGGACTGAAAATTGAGTGAAAAAAGAACCTGGCAGACGGAGAATTATTAGTCGAGAGAACCTGAACAATTCACCCGGCTGCGTATTGTTGTCAAAATATAAAGGAATGAAGGGAAGCCAAATACACTGAAGTGTGTATTGGAACAGTGCCAAGGAGGACATGGCACCTTTAATTTAAGACGGGTTTAAGGGCCATTTAAAAACATTGAAGAGTCCGTCATTTTACAGAGAGAAAGATTAGATTCCCTCAGCAGGCCTCGGTTTGCCATAAAGGGCTTTTAACTGTGTGACTTCCTGTTTTTACCTCCCATCCGGCATCCAGCTTGACACAGCTTAACCTGACAGGCCTCCTCACAGTCCCCATGGCTGATCATATGACTGGGATGCGATTAGGGCGAAATAACTCTTTAACACTTGCTCCGCTTACAAGTTTGTTCACAGAAACCGAGAAAATGTTGCCAAAACCCTCAAACAAAGGCATGCTTTTCCAACCAGATTGACACGATTCTGCTGTTTGGCCCGATCTAAGTTAACACTTTTTTTTTTTCTTCCAAGTGAGGAATTAAATGGAAATGAAAGAGAAATGAAATACAAAGAAATGAGGTGAATGATTGTATTACCTACAGTGAAGACATGGTGGCTGGTTTTTGTAACATGACGGACAAATTACTGCCCTGAGGATGACACAACTGAAAAACCGGTTTGGCTGTTGACACTGAAGCAAAGTGTGTTCTCCTCTGGAAGTGTGGAGCGGCTTTACGTCCTCTCCAGCAGAGTCTGTGTCAGTGAGCGGTCATCTGACACCTAAGAGACACGGACACAAACACATGACAAGGAGACACATCGTATGCAAAGTAGAGCCCTCTTAGAGCCTTTCAAAGATGCGGTCAGCAGAGACACTTTCCGTGTGTTTCTACCCCAATGCTTCCATCTCCTGACCGGTTGCTCAGCTTTCCTCAAGGTGAGGACTCATAATGTTTATAGAAAATAAATCCAAAGCCGGAAAACGTTGAACTTATGTTCAAAGGTCAAAGGTCATGTTAACAGCTTATTTGAACGTTTCACAAAGCAGGACTCGAGCATGGCGAAGCAAGCCTTCTATCAAACATCCGTTTTTGAAATGGTGACAACACTCTCTGATAGCTTTGTTTACTTATTTGGACGTGACTTTGTCTGTTTGGCTGCTTTCCCCTCATTACTGATTATTTCTCAGCTGTGATATCAGCAGTAAACTGACAGAAGAGCTCATTTTCCCTTGTAAAACTTTGCATAAATACTCACAAATACAGTCAACTGAAACTGTAATTCACGATTTGCTCAAAATTAATGAGAGGATCAGCAATTGTCAATAAAACATAAAAGATACAGAAAATTACTGAAACATGTCAATTAGTTTTAGACTTAAAATGATTACCAATGCTAATATATAGCTTAGCGTTGGAAAGTTTGTTGGAAAAAGTGAAAAACCAACAGCAGCTTCTTGGATGTAGCACTATAAGCCCTTTACAGTGGTCTGAACTGTTTAATTCGAGGAAGATGGTAGGTTTTGTGTCTGAATTCAAAGAATATTAAGAGTATTAGTTTTACTGTTGAGCGTTAGCTTATCAAACAAAACCATGAATGAGTTAGCAAAATCAAGTCGAGATCTGATGTGTTTTTGAAATACAACAGGAGGAAATTAACTCTTTTCCAGCTTCACTTTGATCAGAATGCATGATAAAAAAAAAACTACCTAATGCTGGGAAACGTTCTGCCTCATTTGTTAGCTGCTCAGTAACTATTTAATGAATCCCTCCTCTCAAAGTCAAATGTCAGCTTTGGACTTCAGAAACCCTGACTTTGTTGTCTTAAACTGTTATCACCGTAAATTAACAATGCTTCCTGAATATTTAGTCAGTTTTTACTCGGTTTTGTGGGTTTTGAATAGCTCTCACACCAAAGCGGTGACTCTGAGGCCACGTCAAACGGTGCTAGGTGTCTCTAGTGGGAGAGAACAGAGAACAGGCGGGCGGCTGTAATCTCTTTAACCTATCACAAGAAAACAGCCGCTGTTGCATTTCCCATTTCCCGCTGTTCACCTGAAATCGAAACAGAGCAAAAGACTCGGGGAAGCACATGCCCCCCCCACCCAGCACGCTTCAGAGGAATTAGGTCAGGGCTCGTGGGTAGTTATCTTTTCCTTACCGATGTTCTGACTTTGATGGAAGGAGGCAATACGAAGCAGGAGAGATAATATGGATGAGCGGTAGTTTTGCCAGCTGTATTTCATTGATTGTGTTTCACTCTTAAGTAGCTTTCGCTGATAAAAAACGCTCGTCTTGTCCGTGAGCGGCCCGGAATTGGATCGGCTCCCTTTTCCGAATAGCCCGTATTCGGTGACAGGCCTTTAGTTAAGTCAAACACACTTAGACTTTCTTCAACAGGAGGATTCAGTGGAGTGCAGACAGGGCAGGATTTACTCATCTTGTATTTTGGCAGGTTGGAAGAGAGGAGGGAGGGGTTTTTTGGGTGACTCATAGGTCTTCCCCATCATGGAAAACACAGGTTACAGTTTGAATACAGCGATGACAAAAGGTTCTCAGAGTCCAAGCTGCTGACAAGAAAGTGGCTATTTAAAGCGTCGGTAAATAATGTCACACTGTACAGAGTGTGTGTGTGTGCGACGAGCGGGGACCTCCTGCTCGGCAAACAAGTGGTGTAATTATATGCCCGCGCGAGCTGCAGGTGGAATGTGCTAGCGATAGTCCAGCCCTTGTTGTCCTAAGGGCTGGAAGCAGCCCCAACACCCAACAGACATGAGCTCACCATCATTACAATGAGAGGCGTGGCCAAAGCCCTGACTGCCGCAGACCTGATGTTGCTGTGGAGACAGGATGCACACACACACACACAATCACACACACACACACACACACACACAGAGATCAGCTTAAAGTGAAACCGCTGGGAAATTAAAACGGGAGCCTGCAAGCAACACGATTTTTCCCCGGCCAAACACAGATTCCTAGATCCGGTTTGTGTGTCTGGCTCAGGTCAGCGGGCAGGTGCGCCGCACACGCATCATCCGGAATCGCAATGACGGCGTCAGCCGGCGTTGGGGTGATATTCAGCACGCTTGTCTGGCGTTCGGCATCAAGCTCAGGAGAGCAATTACCGGCCTACGGGAGCATTTCGCAGCTCCGCTCCGTTTGTGAGTGTGTGTGTGTGTTCTAGGGGTGTTGGCGCTCTTTGTGTTTTCTGAACACAAACCGCACAAATGACCCGTTTCAAAACACGCTCTGCGACCTAACGCGGGTTGATACAGCGGCGCTGTGTCGGATCAGTCATTCACAGCAGACAGAACACTTTCCAAAAGTGGAAAAACGCCACCTTTGAACAAAGAGATGAGCAGGAGGCGGCCAGGAGGAGGCAAAAAGTGAACCGTTTTATTACATTAAAATGCTTCATACAAACAATTCATACACACGAGGTTCATATTGCTTCAGACATAAGTTTCTTTTCCGTTTGATCCCCAGTTAAACAACTCTGTAACAAAATGTAAGTACAACATTTATGAAAATATAAATCTCTAAACAGGTAAGTCAGTCCTGACAATACAAAGAATACCATAGAAACATTCATTACCAGTATGTCAACTATGAGTTGCAAACATGTAAGTTATTAAAAGTCATTCAAGTTACTTAACATACAATAATACCATTTACTGGCTTCCATAAGGACACATTCAAATATACTCTTAAACTGGCATTCCAATATATTTTCTTAGAGAACTCTTTTTAAACGTCTTTAGCAAAGATAGCACATTTTCTCTATCATAAACGTAATCACAGTCAAACACTTGAACAATTTGGTAACAATATAATTACAGTACATGCCTCAAAATCTAATGAGACGGTCAACGGAATAAAACAAACTATAATTAGGACTTTGGCAATCACATGATAGGATGTTGCTCTCCTCTCCCCCCTCCCACCGCCTTAATTTAGAAACTTTTGATTGGCATGAAATTTAAAGCTCGGAGCTGCTACCCAGTTAGAAATGATCCGAGGGCCGTTGTCTCAACTTCTAGAAACAAGTAAACCTACGATAAGATGGAGTAGCCCTTTCAATTATGCGCCAGGGTGAGGGAGTGCGGGGTTTTGTTTGAGTCGGGCAGCTCCGAACCGTTCAACAGAAACCTAACGTCGGACTATCACAGGCGTGTTCAGTAGGAAAGCTCCTCAAATATCTTAGTTTCGTTGCGACGTCAGCGTGTCCGAAACCCCACACTTAGCTCTCGGTGTGTGCATGCCTCTGAGAGAAGAAATAGTCTCCCCGTTGATGGAAAGACTGGATAGTTCACATGTTTATCTGACACCAGAGAACACTGCTATACACGGCACCTGCTGTACTTCAGTACGGGACCAGATGGTGGTCCGGTGAAAAATCCAGTTGAGCTGGAGCCTTAGCCGATCATGAAACCGTGCTGCCTACATTTAACAAACTGAGTCGGAAGCAGGTGACCACAGTGCTTCTGAAAACACCGATGTGGAGAAAATGACTACTATCTAATATACCCAGGAAATCCCAATGTTATACTAGGGCCGAAAGTGGACTTTCCTTGGCTTACCATGCTTAACTACACGTTGTGGTAACTTTACGACAGCCAGGGTCCAGTTTTTCTCAGCCATATGCACTTTATATTCAGCTGCTTTGGTAACAAGGTGCCAGACATGCTCAGAAACTTGGCAAACGACGACAGCATGACATTTCGGACACAGCCAGTATCTACTAGGTCTTCTGTAAAGCAGTGAAACATTACCTGTCCTTTAAAGTGTAAATAAATGGAGAAAAAGTTCCTTTAAAAATCTAGATCTGCTTTTAAGCTGTGCTAAAAAGTTTGCAAAAGTCCTATTTTTTTCTTCACTTGTGTGACAATGTTTTCTACTCGATAATTTCTACTCATGATTTGTCAAAATGACTCAAATTAATTCAGTCTCACGGATTATCAAATGTTTCCTCCTGGAAGGTTTGAAGATGACAACATCTCAACACTGTAGCTTTTCAGTAGAGCCTTTGAAGAACAAAGACCCAATACTTGTCTTTTAAGACACAATGAAGCCACTTTCAACAATTAATACAATATTTGAGCTCAAAAATTCTAACAAACTTCTCACAAACCACTCCTAAAGTGCCTCCACAAAATGACTATACTTCTAAACATGTAATACCTTTTTTGTCAGCCGAACTCACTCGGTCCTCCTGGAAACTTCTGAGACGGGCTCCACTAACCCTAAAGTAAGTACACTGTTTAAGGCGTAAATGTGTATGGTGCTATGCTACACTGTATGCTCAATAGTGGTGTTTCCCTTAAAGCGAACACACAAACGGGTAGAACTGCAGGTAAATTCATACCAAATTTACGTTTAAGAAATTCCCACAGCTATCTTTCCCCTCAGACCGGTGCCATCGATCTCTCCCGATGTTGACTCGATTCCAGAAGATTTAATGTCAATGCAAGTATTATACTGAGTTTACAAAGTCCCTGCATTTTCATAAATCTTGTAGTCTGCACACAGAGAACGTGTTGAATTCCAGGCACTCACTTTGATTGCATTAAGCACAACGTAACATTGTTAAGGAGTTACACAAATTGCAGCAGCCAAAAACAGATATGTACAAATGTCCATAGTTCTTTCCTTAAGTTTCTTTCTTTTTTTTTTTTTACAGTACTGCCTGAAGTTAATACAAACGTAAATATACTCTTCCAAGAACAACATTATGGCTTAACGTGTACGATGTGAATAAAGTTGATGAAAGCGGCAAAGTTCACTGGAATGGCTTTGAAAATGTTCGACAAAGACATCTGAATATCAACTTTGTTCTTCGAATGCAGAAGGACACATAATGGCAAACTAATACCTTACAGAGTTTACATTGTTTCCTCTTTTGTAAAACAATATTCATCTAACAGTCTTCGTGTGTAAAACTAACAGAAAATGTTCGGGAGTTGGAAGTAAGTGGTACATCGTTTGAGTGCAGCGTTGAAAACGGTCGGCCCGTTGACTCCCCACAGGGCTGACATCTGCAGCTGAATCACGTGGCTGTAAACAAGAATCAACTGCAACCCCAGAGATTCGCAGCTATTTCCACCCGTCTCCGACCCCACTCGCCCCTGTTACTGCAGAAGTTCAGTCTTTTTTGTAGGCGTCGTCGACTCCCCCTCTCCCGAGTCCGACACGTTGATGGGGCTGTCCCTCGAGAAGACCTCGGTCGACTCCCTCCAGATGCAGTCGGCGACGCTCTTGAAGGAATGGTTGCCGCACTTGGGGCGCACTTTCTGCGAGGCGTTGTTGACAATCTGCCGGCTGTTGGAGGTGGCTATCTTAATCTTGAGGGCGGCGTCCACGCGGTCCACCACCGTGTAGGTGCCGATGCTGCCGTCCTCGAAACCGATGATGATGTTTAGCGCTCGCTGGGAGAGAGCGAGGAAGGTCGGCGTCTTGTAAAGAGAGCACGTGCCGATGCTCTTTCCGTCGGCGAGGCGCATGACGATCAGGTTGGACACCACGCCGGCCTCGTCGTCCTCGTCACAGTTTCTGAAACAGATGTACACGAGATAGCGGCCATCTCTTGAGAGCTTCTGACGCCAGATTATACCTGCCGCATGGACAAGCCTCAGCTTCCCACTGTGAAGATCCAGAACGTTTATGTTCTCGTCACCTTTGGAGACTATTCCCAATTTTCCATTGGGGGAGATCTGAAAGTCTTCAAGGTTTTTGAGGAAGTTGGTCGGCAGCTGGACCCGCCTGCACACGGACTCGTCGGCCACGCTCCAGATGAAGACAGTTTCCGTGGACGTGATGAACACCACACAATCAGGACAGTCAGGAATGAGCTTGAAGTTCACAATGCTGATGCCGTCGTCGCAGACAAACTTCTTCGACACGCTGCCCGACCACAGGCTGACAGCGAGCAGCTTGTTCTTGGATGTCCCCACCAGGAAAGTGTTTGCTGTGGTGACCAGTGCGCTCTGGAGAGTGACTAAGATGTTACACACTTTGTGCCCAGTAGCAAGCCTCCACACTCTGGAGGCATTCTGCTCGCACAGGGACACCACGAACTGGTCGTTGTGGGTGATGAGCAGCTGTGATATCCTCTGCCCATTAATGCGGAAAATGTTTTCTCCAGTGTTGGTTTGCCAGATATACTGACTGGACTTGTCGTCTGAGGTCACCATGAGATCCCCTGAGGAGGTTAGGACACAGTTCTCCACTATGCCCTCGTGTTTGAAGACCACCTCAATGAAGCCAGTGCTAAAATTCCATTTGTGGACTGCTTCTGAGCCGTCCATGGTAAAAACGTAGTCCTCTCGGCCAGAGAGCTGGAGGGTCTGTATTTTCTTGCCTGTTTTGTCAATGTTAGACATGGCGGTGATGATATCAATGTCCCAAACAGACAGAACACCACTGCTGGCAACAGAAAGGAGCAGATTATGATGAACAGATTTGATGAGTTTGACGATAGCTCCTGAGATCTCGATCAGGCTAGCCATACATTGTCCACTGTCCCTCCTCCAGACAAAGATGGACGATGTGTTCTCCATGGAGGCCACAATGCTCTGTCCATTCTTTGAGAGGACGGCAGCCACAAAGCGTTCAGTACGTTTGGCTTTGAACTTCTCTACCATTTTCCATACTTTAGTGTCCAGAACCTCGATACTCCTGGCCTTGCAAATAAGTATGGAGCGCTGGTCTTCAGATAACTCAATGCCCACCACTTCACTATCATCCCCTCTACAATCATAATCCTCCATAAGTTTCGGGTTAGTTATCTCTTTGGTGCTCCATACAGACAAACTGCCTTCATTGTCAATCATCACCATTTGATTAAGGGTATCTAGTACAAGGATGGACTTGACAAAGCCCCCAGAAAATTCAGACGTCACAGTGGCCAGCTTGTCTCCATTTCCCAGATGAAAGACGGACGTCGTGTTGAGGTACTGCCCACAGAAGGCATACATCCCATCTGGGGAGCACTGGACACACGTTACCTCGTACCAGCAATGGAACTGGTAAAGAGGCCAGCCGTATAGGAGGTCAATGACGTTTACGTCTTTACTGGCCTCCAGCCAAGCCAAAGCGTGATGGGTGGACAGAGTGAAGCCGTTGATGAAGGCAACTCCACCCGCGACGCCACTGTGCTTCGATCCCTTAATTTCAACCTCTGACAAAAGGCAGGACTTGTGATTATCATAGATGAGCAGAGTATTTTTGGTTGTGGCCACGACCAGATACTTCTCATCGGAGGTTAGCCTGATTCCCAGCACGACCGATCTGGCTGTGTCGATCTGTCGCAGGAGCTGCCTGCTCTCTACATCCCAGGTGCTGACCGACCCATCTTCCAGTGCCACAAGGACGATGTTTGGGGCGAGAGTGGGCAGGATGTCCACAATCTGTATGTAGCTGGTGCAAAGGGTAAGCCTCTCGGGACTGTAGGTGACGTCCATGGAGGAGTGAAGAGGCATAATAGAGCAGTACTTCGGTCCATCTTTGTCGCACTCCAGGAGAAGGTGTCTGAGCTTTGGTAGGGAAGTGACGACTGGAAGAAGCCTTTGCTGCAGCTCTGCAGACAGCGATGCAGGGTTTTTTAACACTTTGCCTTTGATGCTACGGAGAGTGGTTGCCAGGAACTTGAGCTCTTTTTCTTGGGTGCAGCTATAAGCGAGGTCAATGTCCGTTAAAGCTTTGTCAAACTGACCAATCTTTATCATTGTGTAGAGCCAGCTGAAGTTCATGATGACCCCAAACATGAGGTCATCCGTGCGGCCACTCCTGGTGAGGTGGTACACGAGCTCAGTCATCTTTCTGTGATTGACAAAGAAAATGTCGGGCTCCAAAAGGTTGCACTGGAACACCCAGGGCTGTTCGGGAGTCTGTCTGTCGTAGGAGTATTTATCAGATGATGTTTTTTCATGGGACTGTTGTTGGTGAGGGTTTTTGTGGTGGGAAATGTTCAGAGAAGTGAAATGGTTGTTATCATAAGTGAAGATCTTCTTTCTCCCGCCTGACCACGCCCCTAGGAAGTACTCAGCCAAGAGGCTGTGCATTTGATGCACATCCTCCTCATTGCTAAGGTACAATTTCTGGGCAATCAGATGCAGGTGCCTGTTGGCCCAGACCATCAAAGTGATGTTCCGTACCTGCCGCTCCACCAGATAGCCCTCCAGTTCCTCCCTGAGCTTAGCAACCAAGTCATAAGAGATCCTCAGTGGATTTTTGAGGTAAGTCGGCACAATGACATCGCCCAGAACTATGTTGTCAAGAGACAGGATGTCTTCCAGCTCAACCTCTGTCAGCCCAGCTTTGGCCATTGTGACATACCCTAATGCTCTGAAGACAAACCGCTGGCCCAGTTTGTTCTCCACAGAATAAAATAGTTGTTCTATGCTCTCATGTACCGTGGAGCAGAGGGACTTATCGTCCACGTCTTTATGAGACCTCCAATTAACTACTTCTCTGTAGATGAGGTTGACGAACATTGGCAACGTGCACTTTGCAAGCGCCTCGTTGACATAGATCTGCTGGCCTGACGTCACCTTTCTTTTCACCCCGAGCAGCTGCTGTTTTAATGTTTGGCTGCAGACTTTTCGGTCTCTCTGGATTAGCTCCACGTAATACCCCTCATCGTGGATAAGGCTCCGAAGCTTCTGCAAGATGCAGTGTTTGTTAGGCAGCGTCGACACAACGATGCGGACTGTGCGAGGCAGGTGAATGGGGAGCCACCACAGCTTGCGAGCCTCATCTGCGTCTGAAAGCTGCTCCAGGGCATCCAGCACGATGACCAGGGGCCTGTGGAATGAGGACTCCCCAAGGAGGTTGATCAGGAGCTCCCTCATCTCCTGAATTTTGGTAGGCATAAAGTGAATCAGGCAGCGGTAGTTTATTGCGATCTGCTCACAGATGCTCTGCAAGAGAGTTCGTAGGTCTGTGGAGAGTTGGCTGGAGCCTACGAACCGAACGATGACCACTGGATCTGTTTCAGGGATGGTCTCTTTCTGCAGCCATGTGTAGGCCTGAAAAACAGAATCAAACAAAACCTTGAGATTATTCTTGATTTACACGATTACTGAACAAGTTTCCTTAAATTTCAATATGCAAGTCAGATTTAAAATCTACAAATGAGCCTATAAATCATTACTTTATTTATTATTTTTTCTTTTATGTTTATGTTTATTCTATATATTTATTATTCATTAAAGAACTATATTTAATAAGTTTAAATTTCACATCTGTTTTTCAAGATTTGTTTTAAGGACCATGATCAAACAACAAATATAATTAAAGCTCCATAAGTAGGCCAGAGGTCTTAACAGTAAGAGGCAGAACTCTTGAGCACAGCGAGGAGGAAAGGTTTTTATTTCTTTTAATATATGGAAAAATCACAAATGTACTATATCTGCAGCAGTATGATCCACTGACTATAACCCTGAGAGTGAGAACTAGTGTAACATGGTGCCTTTGGCAATCTCATTACTTCATTCATGAATTCATTAAATGGCCCAGCTGAGATTTGGGGGAATATTATGTTATCTGACACTTTCAGGGCAACACTGATGATTCCTACTCCACTTTTAGCTCTCAGTACGTTAGAGGGTGGGGGCGTGAATAAGAGCTTGTTTACAATAAAATGGGTTTTAGTAGTGTTCCCGGCTGTGTGCTTGAGTCTTTGCCCAAAAGATGACAGCAGAGTCAGAATTTACTTAGCCGCTAATGGCAAATACTACACATTAAAGCCTTTTTTTCTCGGAGTATTTAGGGCTACGATTTAGCATCATATGATCGCACCATTTAATTTCAGACAAAATTACAACCAGGCATAAATGTCTGCATAACTGTCTATTTTTAGTCTTATCATGCCAAACAACACTCTTCATTATGTTCAAGGTGTGAATCACACCTGATGGATCCAAGAAGGAGCTTATAGAGCTTCTATCTTTGTTTACCACCATGGCTTTGATCCAAAACGCCTTTCTCTCACACACACCCCACAAAGGGCTTTAAACCCTCATTTTTGGTTTTAAAGTGCAGTGCGGAATAAACGTCTGCAGATTACGAAACAGCAAGACAGCTGTGGAAGTAATTCTTTATTTGTTTACCAGCACGAGAGGCTTTTTCATGAATGAGCCGGGTTCTGGTCGAGCTTATAAATAGCCTGTTCTTAAAGATTACAGAAAAATATGAAATATCCCCTTGAAACACTGCAGTAAAAGCAGTAAAGCTCAAATTAAATTGTTGGTTGGTTTCTGCACGTCTAGTGTTTAAAGCCTGAAGGCATAAACTTTAAAGTCAACTTATCTTTGACTTAATTAAAGCCTTTTTGATTGTCATCAAACTTGTGTCCCCGGGTGGTTGGTAACAGAGACGTTTAACCTTCGACCATGTTTGTTTTTTTGGGGGCGTTTGTGTACCTTTATTAACCACGATGAACTTGTCTAATAGGGCTGGTGTGACATTTAATGCGGATTCTGAATGGGAGCGGTAGTGCAGCCTGATCCCAGATGGCACATACAAAGCCAGAGTGAGCAGACGAGGGGATCATGTCGAGAGTTTGATAAAACTGTTGCCAACGTTTGCAGGGAAATGTGATAAACAGCAACGCTTCGGAGTAAACTGGGGACGTGCGTGTTCACGGGGCTGCCTTTTGGCAGACTCGCAGATGGTGGAGCGAGTGTTCGATGGGAAGGGACGAACAGACGCACGCCTCCTCGTACTCTGGTGTGCAGCCGGACCTAAAGAGGGAACGCGCCACGGGGACGAGATGAATTAAAGCCTCGTCTCACCTGTTTGGCCACCTCGGACAGCAGCAGCGTCTTTCCGGTGCAGGGTCCTCCGTAAACCACGAGGGGGCTCATCCGGCTCCCCTTAGACGGCATGAGATACTCCTGCACGTAATCCAGCGACTCGCTTTTGTACTCGTAGAGGGCGGCGAAGTTCTTGCAAAGCGACAGGTGCTGCACGATCTCGTCGTACAAGGGGTCGGCCTCTGTGTCGAAGTTCTGCTGAACCGTGGCCTGGATGATGTCCACCATGTCCTCGTAGAACTGCTTGCACAGGCCCTCCACGTAGTGGCTCTCCACCTCCTGGGAGTATCCCAGCTTCATGTCGCAGTGCGTGACGGAGGAGTAGACGCGCAGGTTGGAGGCGGCCACCACCGTGGGGATGAACTCGTCGCGGACCTTCAGGAGGCGCTCGTAGGCCTCCTGGTTGCGCATGACGCGGTCGCCGCTGACCACGATGTCCATGTAGCGGGCCATGTCCGGGAGCTTGGCAAAGCGGTCGAAGTTGGAGATCTTGCGAATGTAGCAGACGCATTTCCTGAGAAAGGCAGGCGTTTGCTTGCCGAGGGCGAAGTCTAATTCATCCTCCAAGGCTGAAGGGTGGGACACACACACACACACACACACAGAGAGGGGGAAACTTAGTCATTTTTGAGGGGAAAAGCTGACATTTGTGAGACAAGAGACTGATAAATGAGCAGCATATCTGAAATAAAATAGGTTTTAATAGGGAAAATCACCCTATTGGGTACAGGATTTAAAAATATAACCCCCACACAACAGAATTTAGTCATGTGGCTTTCTCAAGCTAATCAGCATGGGTCAGAATACCTCACAATAGGTGATGTCATAGGTTTTGACCAATTAGGAGGGAGAAAGATGCAGTCAGCCTTCCTCAAGGGTTAGGAGTCATATTTTTCATATTTTGTGTGCTTAAGTTCTTGGAGGAAAATTTCTCATTGTTAATTTTGAAAGTAAATATTCATTTAACTTTATAAGAGTATTTCTATCTTCAGGACTTTTTTTTAAACAAGCAAGTAACCTGCATTCTTATCAGAACCTTTTGAAACAATAAAAAGGAGAAAATAGTTTTTTTAACGGCCATCAAAAACACTCAAGGATTGAAACTTCTGAGTGTTTTGTGAGTTCCCTGAAAAGGGTTTGGGAAGTTAATGCAATCAGGTAAGCTTGACTGAGACTCTGCCAGCATCTGCGTATGTCGGCTTTTCAGAGGGGCCTGTTAATGAAGTCAGGAGGAGACAAGGAAGGAAAAGTGGAAGTTCCAGGAGGCAGCGCAGCTCGCTCTGAGCTAAATGAACACTAAGTTTGCACATTTCTAAAGTTTACACATTCTAACAAATGATCTGTTGTGTCTTAAAAGCCCCTCCGGTAGAAGCTCAGAGTGCAAAGACCAGCAGGAATGGGTTAAAAGAAGCTGGCCCACTCATTGATCTGACTGAGGTCTGTGCAAGTCAAAATCTATGGCGCCGGTCATGCATCTGAAATTTCAGTAGTAGTAATTATGCCACCTGTCGATTAATCTAAGGCACTGTCCGTGGTGCTGATAAATTCTGCCCCTCTGCAGTTTCGTGGAATGCTCGATCCATAACAAAAACGCCCAACTTAGATGCTTTACGTCATCTTTTAAAAAAATACCTCATGAGTGAACATCTGCGTGGTAATAAACAGAGGGACACATATGGATCAGGTATTCACAGCTTTGGAGAAACACAAATTCCTGCCTGTACGATGCTCTGAGGCCACGTATCGGCTCCAGCAGTTCGGCTGCTGCCAATAAAAATCCAGCAGCATCCTCCATCAAACGGGGACTCGCACACCCCCCCGACTGGCCCTAGGGTCTTGTCACGACTTCATTTGGTTCATAAAACGCAGGAAAAAGTCATTTAAAACAGCAAAGAGCTAACCAGAGCAGAGGAATTTCTTGGCCTGAGCGCTCTTCATGGTCCCCTTCTCCTGAAGCTGCAGCACCGCCGTTCGGAAGATCCTCTTGATCTCCTCCGACACGTTCCTCCAGGCCTTGTCATTCTTGGTCTTCGCTGCGCTGCTGGACTCCATCTACACCGGACGGGGCGCCAGAGAGAGAACAGAGGGACTTTACTCCCGCGGCGGAGCCAGATTCTCAGCTTGAAATTGTGATGGCACGTTTTCATAAGCTCATTTTGGAATGAAACTAAAACTTTTGGTAACTCAAAGGGGTTGGAAGCTGCTTGAACCGACACAAGATGTGTTCAGAGGCTCAAAGCAAAGCCTCTTTTCGGGGAGGGGGGCGTTTAAAATGTGTGTTTCATACAGAGCTACAGCTCCAGGACACAAATAAGCCTTCGGATCTGTTTAACAGCTAATTTAAAGACTCGTTTCAGGAGGGAGGGGGTGACTCCCACACTGGACTTACAGAGTTCTGGTAGTTCTTGAGCATTTGGGCTTTGGGTTTGAGGTAGTAAGCGGGTGGCACGGAGTTTTCGTCCCTGCAGTACCACTCCTCTAAGATGTGGGTGTCCAGCCCGGCCTCCACGGCCGCGTCCAGGATCATCTCGAACTCGGCCGACTCCACCTCCCCGGGCACTCGGATGCTGCCGTATTTCTCGCCCACCAGACCCTGAGGAGGGGAAAAACAAAGACAAGCGGCGGGAGGTTACTAATGCGAACGAGAGACTGGCAGAACAACAAACTACATCAGTCTGCCTGTTTCTGAATAAAAAAATAGTTTAGACGCTCCTCTACAAACGTCGGACTGCAAACCACTTTGTGGTTCTCCAGACCTCTAACTTGAAGTTAAAAGTCGTTTGAGGCGTTTTCTTCTTGACTTTCTGAAAAGAGGTACCTGGAAACACTAGGTGGGTGAGTTCAAGTGGAAAAGGGCTCGTGGGCGTGAGACGGGTGGCTCTAATGGGGAACATCCATCAAAGCTGGAGCGGATCCTGAAAGTTAACCTTTGCAGATGAGGCTCTGAGCCCGCCCCAGGGAGGAGTTTATAGCTCGTTTGGACGCGAGCGGGAAATACAGGCGGGACATTTATGTGCCCAGCTGCCATTTAACGGCGGTCACCCTGCAGCCAGCGTGTGCACGTGTAAGGGCGGCACTGAGGAACTGGCACTCTGCTGCTTCCGACTCTCTCTCTTGGGGATTACAGTGTGAAAACAGTCAGTTTTTAGTGAAAAACACGGGAAAAGTTTTGAGGATTATATCTGTGTGTGTCTGGGAGTTGTCGGTCAGACTTGGCGTGCATGTAAATGATTTCTACTGAATGAGGCCAACGGCAGAGGCTTTCTCTCCGCTCTTCTACACATCGCGGCGAAGAAATCAGCTCGGGCTAAAGCTGCGAGTGTTTGAATGACACGCTGCCATGTGAGATGCGCCCGCTCGGGCCAAATTTCAACCCAAATTCTCAGTAATTGGCGGCGCCGAGAAAGTGAGCAGCTTCGTGTTTTATGTGGAACAGATGGGACCGTTTCGGAGAAGAAGACGGGAGCGCATTAAAAAGGATGCATGTTGACGATGAGGAGGCACTGTGAAATCTGATTTATGAGGGCCTCTGTGCTATAAGCTAAGGTTATTATCAACACAATGGCCACCTTTATTGAACCTCTCCACACATACGCGCTGCCCCCGCAGTCTTTATATTCAGGAAGGAGTACATTCAAGACAGCAGCAGCATAATTAGGCATTGTCAAATCAACTTGTACCCTTCCTTCCTACTGTTATGAAAGGCTACTCCTAATCCCCTTGCTTTAGAGATAACCAGCGCAATTTGCAGGCTTTTGGTTTAAAACGGAAGCAGAAGAAAAAAAGAAAAAAGAAGAGGAAAACCCTCAATGACACGACCAGCTGATCTCCCGTCCATGTGTAATAGCTCACATGCACCTAAGACGCTGCCTCCGGCAGGAGACGCGGAGCGAGAGGGAGGGGGGGGTGAAGCCAAATGACTGTGAGCTCCGATGAGCAGGAAAACGATGGCATGCTCTGGGCAATGATGCTTCAAAGCCGCTCGGCGTCGGAGTCCCTCTTCCCTTGGCAATCGCAGTGGGAACAGATGCAGAGAACAAGCAGAATCGGGAGATGGCATGTGGCTCGGGCTGTAGGACGGCCCTCTCCGAAAAACCCACGAGGGCCCGCGGCGGATTGGTTTGCATGTGCGCCGCTCTGTGTCCACGTCGCACACATCACCAAAGCCTCGCTTTGGGTTTTGGCTGCAGATGGATGGTTGGGTGGAAGGCAGCTGGGCTTTTTTGATACAAATGGAGAATTTGCATGATATGGTATTTTAGCTGACCCACTACTAACGATGAATCCTGCAGAAAGCAAAAAGGAGACAAAGTTCATCGAAGAATCCGCCACAAAGATTAGATATTTGTAAAATCATGCAATGCATTGCAGCTTTGCCCTCTTGTTCAGCCAGTTTTCTTCTTTAAACCCTCCAAAAGAGGAATTGATCAGATTATATGTAAATATGTGGTTCAGTGAACAGTGGGAGGATCCTGAAAGTGCTGTGCTACAGTGCACTTCACTGTATTTTGTAGCCTGTGACTCCCCATAATGATGACATCATGTTTAATGGATACCAGCCTGGAAAGGGGAAAAGAAATCCGCCGAATGCCTTTGAAGTCTTCACTCACGGAACATCCCCTCTTGCTGCAGCACCACACGCTCGCTGTCGCCATATGGAGAAAAACCACCGAGTTCATGGGTTTTTTCCACATGGCAGATCTTGTAGGCAGCGAGCATCTTGATCCTGCCATCTTGTACTTTATATAACGTCGAGCTGTTTGAGCCGGAGCCCATGAGCGAGTCACGTGGGGGTTACTTTCGATCTGGGGAAACTTTCAGTGTGCTGGCCCGCTGCGCAGGTCTCCCGATTTGCCTGACTGTTTGGGGGGGTGGGGGTGAGGTGGGGGGGGGGGACACTGGCCTCACGGGGAGCACAGCTGCCCTCCATGCTGCCGACAAAGTTTCTGCCAGCACGGATTAGGAGAAATCAGGGTAAAGGCTGAAGCTGGTGTTTCCTCTCAAAATGCCAAAAAGCAGCAAACCCAGGCCCGAACACACACCTGCCTGCCAAGCTGTGCGGCAAACAGACGCACACACAGGACTCACAAAAGCCACACTGCTCAGAAATGCTCCGATATGTATTTGCTGGATGGCTGTGTGAGGCCATCTTTAGGTGGATTACCACGCATGCTGGAGCTCCATCTTTTGTGTTTTTACAGTCAGCGTACAGTGTGTGTTCGTGTGTGTGTGCTGTCAGAGGGCCGTGTGTAGTCTTTATTGCTCTTGCTGCAGGTGTGACAAACACAGGAGGATGAAGCAAAAATAGCACAGTGGCCAAATGAAATTCCAGCCGTGGCAGCCCTCCTCTGCCCCCCCCCTCCTCGTCGGGGTTTTTTTTCATCCTTGGAAGGGGTTTTACACTCTAAGTAAGTGCACTTTATCTGATGAGCCAGCCGGGAGAGGCAACTAAGATATTGTGCACAGCCACAGTATGAATTAACAAATCAATCACTCGCACGGCCAATTAATCAGGGAAACACACAGTCAGCTGTGCGGGGATTTGCTGCATCGGCTTTGGCAGAGACGAGACGCACGTCCCCTCGCAAAGGAAAAAAGCAAACCATCAGTCAAAGAAATATTCCGTTTTCAGAGACCTGGGCTGTCGTTTAGCAGCAAAAGGCACTCCGGATGCCGCGCTTTAGGTTTCTGCGGACTGATGGATGCACTTACACTTAGCAGCGCCGCTAATACTTTCTTTTAAATCTGCCGACAAATCACATGAACAGGCTGATTTAATTCGTCCCGCACTTAAAAGATGCAGTCCAGTTCAAGCCAGTTCACACCAATAAATGTTTTATTCTTACTTCTGGTTCAGCCAACAAATTAAAAAGAAAAAAAAAAAACGTATTTCTTCCTATTCAGAGTAGATTTGGGCTTACGTGTGTCTGGAACTATCCTCTTACATGCAGTAATGAATGGGAAAAGATTCCGACTGTTTGCTGAGGCATTCCTGGAGTTTTCTTTTTTTTTTGTTTCCCCTCCATCCACACGAGGGAATTTGAGACTCTTGGAGAGCAGAGGAGAGAGGAGGGAAAATCACGGTTCATTGTCATGCTTAATCTGTGGGTCAGTGACACAGTCACCATGCCAACGCTGCGATCACCATGAAAACCCGCTCTAATGAATCGGCAGGAGAGAAAAGCCCCTCCTTTTACAACCCACACCTGTCTTGTCTCCAGTTTTGCCCTCTCCGTGACACTCTATGCTGCTGACTCCGACTTAAAAAGTGAGACAACATCAAATCTAAACAGTAGTAGCTGCTACTAGGCTGGATGTGGGATTCTCTGCATAAGTCAGATCTCTCCTCAGAGGTTTGAAAGCAGGAATGATTTAGTTATTTTGACTTGTGGGTCTGGCTGAGTGGAACAAGCCCTCCCACGACAAACCTCAGTCCCTGCTCCCGCTTCTGTGGAGGAAATATCGACAATCAATGCAATCTGGCTTTTTCAGTCTCCTCCGTCTCCCCTGTCCTCCCCTCTGAGCCGTGCGCTGGGCTCTTTCAGACGCCGCTCTTTGAAGTCTCTTCTTAAAGCCACGCCGATGTATGTGAGACACTTGGACGGCGTGGGTGGGTGATGCTCTTGGTACCCGTGTTAAGAGACCGCGAGCAGCTGCGGTTGTATTTGAAATGAAAACTGGGCGTCTAAATCGGTCTTTGGCGCGTCAAGGCGCTCCGATTGTTGTTTCAGAAGAAACGCACAGCCCGAAATCCTGCGGGAAGATGCGAGTCTGGATCCACCGGCCTGTACAAACAAACACTGGCTCTCCAGAGGTGGACCAGACAATCCAGAACTGTCAAAAAAAGGGGGACTGGAGTCTCTGATCACAGCTGGCCCGCACGTGTCTGAATGGAAGATGCCGCCTATCGGGGGGACGCCCGGCATGAAAGGCCTGCCGGCGCCGCAGAGGGCAGGCGGCTTGAATGTGCCATCAAACGTTTAATCCGTCGGGGGGGGGGGGGGGGGGGGACTTCGGGGCCTCTCCAGTGAGCCGGCCGACTCCCAATCTGCCGGCCGGAGCCAGTATTTGAAAGCAGGGGATGGCAGATCAGAGGGAAAAGGAACAAAAAGATGTGTGTGGGTCCACACCTGAGCTTATGTGTGCCTCAGGGTGAGCAGGAGGGGGGGGTGGGGGTTAAGGCGGTGAAATTACAGCGGCGACAGAGGGCAGAGAGGCCAAGGGGAATGAATGAAATCACAACACAACACTAAACTCAGCGGCACAAAGGCATCCTGTGATCGGCTCGGTCCGGCTGACGCGGCACTTAAATGCAGCACAGTTCCACAACTTCGGCCCGCACAACTAAACAAAAGCTAGGAAACACCACAATGGCAGCCGTTACAACGGTACGTCTGTGAATGAACTTCTAATTTGTAGTTGAAATATTGAGAAGCGTGAGGAGAGAAGGAGCGTTCATGCACTATGATGGAGAAAAGTTTGTGGCTTTAATGAAGTATTTGAAGAGAAACTGCTGCTGCCACCTGTGTGAAGCCTTTCTTTTGCCTATCTCTACTTGAGCTGACTGCCACTCCTGCTCGGTTACTTTTGGTTTGGCATGGCTGAAATCTACCGAAGATGAAAGGGCGCTGGCGTTTTGCTGAAATCTGACCCCTTGAATCCTGGTTTATTTGGTGGATCTGTATATCGGAGTCATACGCAGTGGATCGAGATCTAACTGAGACAGTTTTTAACCGTAAACCTCGTTAAAACACGTTTTTAGGTATGTTTTAAAACTGTTTTTGCAGTTGGTTATGACACAAGGAAATGGACTGACATATGAGTTTAGAGGCTGAAGGTTAGAATTTAGACGTGCGACTGATATTTTTTTTATGGAGGAAATGGCTTCTTACTCTAACACCAAGAACTCTTTTTTCCAGTAATTTTTCAAGTACACATTGTTGCCCTGATAAATTGAAAAAGCTGTGCTAAGGTTGGTATTCGCTAAAGCAGGAGCCAAGGTGTTTTTTAAAAAGAAAAAAGAAAGTGTTAAAGTTGCCATGCAGCGTGAAACTGTGTGTTATTTCTGAGCCAGGAAATGTGTGTGTGTGTGTGTGTGTGACAGACAGGGAAAAACAACTCCTGAATGAGTGTGTGCAGGTTGGAAAAGGAGGGGATCCAGAAGTCGGCCTGGGGAAGGGGATTATGCCCCCAGGGGATCGGGCTCCTGTTGCACCCATGATGCATGAGCTGTGATCTCTCACCTCAATTTCAAACTCTCGATTCGATCTGTTCCATCTGAATAATTCACCACTGCTTTTTATTCTGGCTCCTCTCTTCCTTTTCACAATCGTGCCCTTTCATCTTCCGAAAAACTCAGCGGCAGCACGTTGGTCGTGTAGCCGGCTTTGTCTCAGCAAAGCTTCATTCGATCTGATCAGTAAAAACCGCCAAGATTGTTTTTATCTCACAAAATATAAGCAGAAAACCCCCAAAAATACAAATAAAATAAAAATCTGTGTTTTTATGACAGAGGCCATAACACTAAAGCCACCAAAACTTTCACAAATGCATTCAAAAAGATTCCTGTTGCTAAATCATGTAACCATGTCACTTGTCATCCTCTTGTGTGGACATTTTGACTTTTCCTGCTAATATTCTATGAGAAAAAATCTAATTTTGCTGCTAATGTTATATGTGGTACAGATATGATTGTTTGAGGGGGGAAATAAAAAGAAGTGTGAATTTGTGAGCTTTAATTTGCCTTTGGATATCTCTCGGGCAGAATCTGACAGGACCAGAAACGCTCACCACAAAACACGGTCCAGCCGAAGTCTTCAGACATTCCTCCAGAAGCTTCATCCTGAGTCTCTGCAGCTCGGGGTTGTCCCACTCCTCCGGGTCCACGCCCCAATACAGGTCCACCACCTAAACACAGACATCCAGAGTTCCATGACTGGATTAGGAACAAACATTAATGGCGTGTGGAAACAGTTTCTCGCAAATTTCACAGGACACCGTTTAATCTTATAAACTAACGACGACACATCTGAACAACACAGCAGGTAATGGGCGAGGGGGCCGCCATCTTGAAAGCAGCCATATTGGGTTGAGGTGGCCATGTAGCATATAAAAAAAAAAACCAGGACTGTCTCAGTACTGAATTGCCACATTCAAATTGACTAAAATTCATGTGCTGTCCGTGGTGCTGAACACAGAGCGGGAGGCCCAGGGTGCGTTTTTTTCTAAACCTGATCGACAATCGGTGCAGAAACGCTGCCACAAGCCTCCATGAGTGGATCCCGTGCCTTCAGGAAATAAAAAAAGCAGAGAATCCGCGCGAATGACGAAGCCAGCTTTTCTTATGAAACAAACAAACAAAAAAAAGGAGAATCCGCTCAAATGGGGACCAGCAGGAGAAAAGCCTGTAATCTAATCCGGTTAATTTGAGTCAGTTTTGACTGAAACACATATGTTCACCTGCAGTGTGCCACTGACGGCCCTCCACGCGCGCACACACACACACACACACACACACACACACACAC